TGCCGTCGAGTCGGCCCCGACTCATAGCGACCCCTCCTTGGGTTTCCGAGGCAGTATCACTACGGAAGTAGGATTGCCCAACCTTCCTTCCGGGAATCCTATTATGCCTGTGGATATGATCCTGTTTAGAAATAGAAAGCCCTTTGTAATGTTAATGTGGCTGTATCAGTGTAGGATGTGTCCCAAACTTCTGAATTAGAAAAAGAGCAGGCACAAGCACAAGCTTAGGAAAGACAGATATCACATAAAATCCCCAAGAACTAAGGAACACCCAGGACTACTGACAAGGAAGGAATCTTCGTGGCCAAGTCTCCGATTTGGACTTATAGCTGCCAGAACCATGAGACAATAAATTCTGTTCTTTAGAGCCACCCACTTGTTTTTCTGTTACAGCAGCACTAGCTGATTAAGACATGCCTCAAAGCATTTCTAGGTTCCAAGGAGATAAGGTTTAATCAAGATCTTGAAAGGACAAGCAGCCTACTAAGAGACAACAGAATAATCACCTAAAACCTTGAGGAAACCGACATTCCTCTTATTCAGAGACATGCCTCTTATTCAGAGATTGGTATAAGTGTGGATTTCTCTCTGATTCATCACTAGGGTTCAATAGAACATGCCTTTGTAGGTGATTTATCCAGTGAAATCTGTGAGAGTCCAAACTCGACAGGACTGCCCTGTTTTCCCAGGTCTCACAGTTTTCTGCCTTTGACAGGGTACAGTCTTACTATTTTTCTATCGCTTGTTTTGGTGAAAAATATTTTAGTTTTCCTTCTCTAACAGGCTTCCACCTCAGGTTCCAGCCTTCACAAGTTTTACGGTATCTTATCAGATGCCTTAAGTCCTAAACCTAGAGATCAGACATAAGCTTATTTCAACAGAAGAAAGCAGGTTATTTGTTCCCCTATAAATCACCTGTGTGGATAAACAGAAAAAAAAAAAAAAAAAAATCACCTGTGTGGATAAACAGAAAAAAAAAAAAAAAAAGATCGTTACACCCAAATTATTCTTAAAATGAATATTTATTTGGAAGGAGAGGGAAGAGTAAGTTGATAAGAATGCAGTGGTAATCTCTCTCTTTCTCCAACACTTGGGTCCAGGGCAGGATATAATCATGTCAGTCTTTCTTCTTCAGATTGCATGAGACTGGTGATGCATGTGTCGGTAGTGGCTCCTCTTGGATTGTGACAAAGATTCTTCAAATGTGGAAAGTGGAGGTGCAAAGCTTGAAATCAACCTGCTCTTCATCTATGCAGATTATAGTATGTCAATTGCAATAACCCCAGCCTACAGCCCAGGCCTGTTTTACAAGTCCTTTGCTGTGTTTATGTTGTCAGGAATACATTAATTACATGTACATTTTGAGAAGGATTATGTTTGTGTTTATGCAGGGGCAATTTGTGTAATCTAAGTTCTTAGAGAAAAATAGAAACAGATCGATAGAGAAGACACAGAATGCAAAGTTTCTAAGAGAGCACCACAGGTCTAGTGTAAATTTTGGACGAATATAAAAATATTTGGTTGTGTTTGTTACATCTTCCTAAAATTGCTACAAAGTATAGACTTTCACCTGATAAAACTTTTGTTCCTTTTCTATTGTTGTTGCTGTCGATAGTTACAATTGATTTGGTTCCAACTCATGATGACCCCACTGTGTTGGAGTAGAGCTTTCAGTGGCTGATTTTTCTAAAGCAGATCTCTAGACCTTCCTTCTGAGGCACCTCTGGGTGGACTCAAGGTGTCCATCTTCCAGTCTGCTCTGAGAGCATTAACTGTTTGCATGTTAGAATCAAAGTCTGCTCATAATTTTGGTCAATTACTTTAACTTGCTAACCAATGAATTAAAAAAAAAATTATTGTGCTTTGGGTGCAAATTTACATAGCAAACTTGTTTTACATTCAACAGTTCCTACACATCTGATTTCACGGCCCAGATTACTGTCCCCAATCATAAAAGACTCTCATCCCCTCTCCCCACTTGACCGATGAAAGTTTTAGTGACACTCTAAACAAAGTAATTTTTAGTTATCATCTTGTAAAGAGCACAAGGTTATCTTTAAGTCATTTACATGAAAGAATATATTCAAAATAAAATAAACTCAATGTATGAATCTAAATGTATTCAGCTTGATTTGAACATTACCTTTTAGCAAGGCAAAAATCATTACAATGACAATGTTTGGTAAAAAATATTTAGTGTTCAAATTAATGTGTACATTTTATTCTGTAGAATGTAAATTACTAAATAAATTAGATGGTATATTTTTTATCATTAAAATCATCATCAGTATCTTTATTGTAGATGCACAGAAGCACTGCATAGCCCAGATGGGCTTGCAGCTCAGTTTTCTATTTATGGGTGGGGGACAGTATTATTTTTCACCAATACCTTATAATTCTACCATCATTCCTAGCTCAGGACCCAGCCCTGGAGTGGTGCCTTACCTATGACTCCATCAAGACTCACAACCCACATAATTATCATCATTTAATTGCAACTTTTTGTTTCTTTTTCTAACACAATCTAAAGTGTATAGCAAAGGTAAATTCCAAAACAGAATTCTTCTTTTTAAAAGAATTGTATTATGTATATATGAATAGCATCTGTACAGTGTTATAATCCATACCATAATTTTCAAAAATTTATAGCAAAATTTCCCCACCCTTAATCTTATTTATAGTTTGTAATTACCTTATCTAAATAGCTATTACAGTCAAAACACAACCAAATATTTTTATATCCGTCCAAAATTTACACTAGACCTGTGGTGCTCTCTTAGAAACTTGCATTCTGTGCCTTCTCTATCGATCTGTTTCTATTTTTCTCTAAGAACTTAGATTACACAAATTGCCCCTGCATAAACACAAACATAATCCTTCTCAAAATATTATGATGATTTTTTTTGTAATAGTAAAAATTTTGAATTAAGGGATAATTCTTCCATGCATTTTAAATTTTATTATATAACATGGTAGAAATTGGGATTTCTGTCACTCTGAATATCCATATGGCAAATCCTGGGATTGAGCAAAATTATTAATTGCCTGGAAACATCAAATATATTTACAATTTGAGATTTCAAATTAAGATGAGCATTATAAGCATGAGTTTCCAGTTTTCCCTTAAAGATTGATTTGTGTAGTTGTACACTACAAATTTTATTCCTAGTCTCACATAAACATCCTATTCTCTTATTATTAAATGTAAAACACCTTTAATAACAAAGATGGAATGCTCTTTCATTTTTTTTTTTTTAAAAAAAGGTAGGTCTTTAGGCTATGAAGCTGTTTTTCCCACCTATGATTTTAGTTCCTTAATTAACTTTTCTATTAATATTTCATAGGAGCTCTGGTAGTTAATTATTTTAATGATAAAAGTCAACTGCACTTGACTGCTAACCAGAAGGCTGGAGGTTCAAACCCACCAGCCACTCCTCGGAAGGAAGGTTGGACAATCTCCAACCCACATAATTTCCCAGGTAGTGATACCACCTGGGAAACCCAAGGAGGGGTCACTATGAGTCTGGGCCGACTCAACGGCACATAACAACAATAACATTAATATTTTATAGATAGACTCAAGTTTGTGGTTTATCTTTATTTCTGAAGAGTTACAAGCCTTTTCCCCCACATAGGAGTTGTAACGACATAACTCTTTGCATATAAAATTAAATATTTTAAATTCCCATTAAGAAAACATACGAAACTGTAAAATATTGTTAACAAATGCTCTAAACAAAAACGACTAGTTTGAAAATAATATTGGTTGACTATGTGTGGATACCATTAAAAGCACCCTGTTTTGGGCAAAATTTCAGTCATCCTCAACAATACTTAAAGGAACCCAGTAGAGGATTTAGAAAAAAAAAAAAAAAGTATAAGTTGAAAATTGATCCTCAAAACCTCTTCATTAAATTATTCTCTTAGAAAAGAATCTGGAAAATCTATCTATGAAGGTAATATATTTGCTCTTTTCAGGTGGTTTTAAGATGCACAATACCCTGAAGACTGTCTGTCTCAGCTTGCTGTTTCCCAAAATCAGAATAAATGAGTGGCCTGAGGGAAAAATGGCTAATGCTAACATGACAAAGTTAACGCCTGCATGGTTCTGCAAGGAAAAGGAACAACCAATTTGCTATGTGCGTGGAAAAAAAGTGAACTATGAAGAGGAAGAGGAAAGACAGCACCATTTTCATGGCACTTTGATGGACCTCTGTGCTGAGATCCCTAAAGCCGAGGGCAATGAGCTGCAAATTCTTGGTGTGTCTCCCCAAGGATAGAAATAAAAGGAGCAGTGAGGCCAAGGACAGAACAATGGGGATGAAATAGATCAAGCTAAGAAGAGTCAGGTTTTTAACGTAGAGTGGTTTATTTTTATCTAAATATAAAGTCAAATTACTTTTCTCTACCATATAGATATCCAACCAGAAATCATTAAATATTTCTATCAATAGAAGATCAAACGTCAATAATAACAAAGCAAATATAAAAAGCACAAGGATCACTCTGTTCATTCTCCACTTGAGCCAGAGGAAAAGGGAGTGGGAAAAGTGAGCTATCTTAAGGAAGTATAAAATGCTTAAGCATGTGGCAAGCCAGATATTTAAGTGATCCATCATTCTCCAAAGAATGTTAATAGGTTTTCCTAGTCTGTAAGTGGCATACATTTGTGGAAATAGCCCCATTATAAATATATCAAACAATAACACCAACAATTGAATGATTCTGGAGATAGCCAAGCAGGTGAGGATGAAGTCAGCTAAGGAGGTCTTTTGGTTCTTGACCCATTCAGAACTGTTAACTAGTCCAATTAACCCATTCCCCAACATTCCAATTATGAATTCTCCTACTACCAGAATGATTTTATCCAAACTTGAGATCATTTCTGTAGTAAGAAATCTCAATTTCTAATATCATCTGTCATTGATAAATTTACAGTCAAACTGTTGCACAGTAGCATCCATTTCCAATGTTTTTCTTCATTGCTTTTATTGCAATTTCAATCTTAATCAGAACCTCCTGCTGTTGGAGACAGTTTCACATGTACTTAAGAAATCTTTCTCTCTACTTTTATTATAATCTTGATCTTAATGCAGAAAGCTCTGCTAAGGAAGACAGGCTCACATACCTTCATGAAAACATTTCACTTCTTTCAGAGAGGTACTGTTTCTAAACCAAACAATTTGTGTGTCAATTTATCATTGGCATTGCATAAAATTTGCCACTTATGGTAATGAGTCAAATAAGTTAACATGCAAATATGAGCCAGAAACTTTTTCATTGATTTGTACATTCTTCCTCATCCGAAACACTATACCACTTGGATCTAAACATCTTCAAATAATTTAATTATTATTCAATGAATGTATTTTGTGAGTGTCTGCTATGTGTCAGACCCTTTTGCAATTGCAATGTATGTTACTACAAAAAAATAATTGAAGCATTAGGTAGCCCATAAAATAGTGAAAATTCATAAGTAAATAATGAGAGAAAAATAAAATACAATGTAAACTAGAAAAGATAACTATAAAGATTACTTTGGGGAAGACAAAGGATAATGACATTTGCCTGGATTTTGAAGATATTTAGAATTTCATTAGGAAATTAGCAAATGATAACTTGGACTAGTAGAAGAGTATATGAAAGGATACAAAACTACTTTTTTGAAATCAAAGCCCTTTGTCTGTAATTTACTATAATGTCTATTTAAAGTGTTCCTCGGGTACCTCAGCGTACTTTATTTGTTTAAATGTTCACAATTAAACAAATTGTCCACTTTGTACACGTTCTATTTATTTTGGCCAGAGATATATGCTCAGGGATGGATTACCCGATAAGCAAGGTAAGCACATGCTTAGGGCATCAACAAAACAGTGGCACCAGTTGTTCAAAGCAAAGACCTATAGATGCCAGGCAGACAAGACATAAGAAAAAGTGAGCACCGTAGTAGAAGAAAACTGGCAGGGCACTAAGTGAAACTGGTAAAGCTTCTGTGCATGAGAGTGTGTCAGTCAGATACAAAGTTTGCACAGGGTCATGAGGGCACCCACACACATGGTTGTTTCAGCTATGAGGTCCTTACCACTTCAACACCTTCGTTGACATCTGCCTACTGCGGTCCCCTTCTGTGTCACTGAAACTCTATCTTGGTGGGTCTCTTGGGAGCATGCTATTTCTTTCTAATAAACAAGCAATAGGGGTGGGTTGTCGAGTCTAACTTTTGCTATATCCAAGAAATTAGTGTTGGCTTATCCCAATGATTTAAATACAAACCTTTACAGACAAGTGCAACAATTTCATTCTTACATGAGAACTAAGTTTACAAATTTCAGAAAGATAAATTTTACTCTAAGCATGTATGACTCCATAATAGAAGATAAAATATAATGTGTATTTCCCATTGTTGAAATTGCTTTACGCGTATTCCTAACTTTAATGATCACACATTGCACAACAGAACACTCATTTTCATATGAACCCTAAGGAGACTCAAAAACCCTCTGTACAGCAATGACTCAAGAAAGACTAAATCCATTATTTTTATTGTGTATGGGAGTAGATATTGTTTACTAGCTTTATTGTGACAAAATCGTTGAAGAACTTGTAAGAACAAAGAACAGAACTGTTTTTAATGATAATGTGTTAGGGAAGAAAGATCTATCTAAACATAAAATGTTGTGATATTTGTTTTCTGATCATTATATTTTCTTTTAAGACATCTTTTCATAGTTCATTTATAATTATAGCATTTATTACAAGACAAGCATCAAAATTGAAGTATGAGTGATTTAAAACAAAATTGGTAAGAATCAGTTTTTCACTGTGGGAGATCAACAGAATTTTACCTTAATTGTCGAAACAGCAAAGTTCACTGACTCATTTTCTTTGTTGTAGAATACGTGGAATTTTTTTTTTTTTTTATTGTGATTTGGGTGGAAATTCACAGAGCAAATTCACTTTCCATACAACAGTTCACATACACTTTGTCTCATGACATTGACCACAATTCACCACAATGCAACAGCTCCCCTCCCACTTCCTCCCAATAGTCACCTCTTCCCTGTGTCCATCCTCCATGCACCTCTGGCCCCTGAGTTGTCTCCCTGTGCATAAGCAGCCCTTCTTTCTCCCATGATTGTTCTCTCCAAGGAGTGCAACTACCTCAGGTAAATGTTCAACTCATGTGCCTGTCTTTTGTTTGGCTGGAAGCCACAGGTGTGGGTTCAATTCCAGACCTGAAGGACAGCTAGAGGCCATAGTCTCAGTGATTCCACCAGGCTCTATCAGATCAGCAAACCTGGTCCCCCTTTTTTTTTTCCCAATTGATTTTGAGTTTTGTTCCACATTGTTCTCCCTCTCTATACAGGATCTCCTACACAGATCCCACTCTGAGTGGAATATTCTTTTTGTAGAAAATGTGATATATAGTAAAATTCTTAGTACTTCACATCAATTAAAAATTTTGTAATCCATTTCATCTCATTCCACTAAAATGCTATATACTACTTTTGCATCCGATCACCAATATGTTGTTGTTGTTGTTATGTGCCGTCGAGTCGGACCCAACTCATAGCAACTCCTCCTTGGGTTTCCGAGGCAGTATCACTATGGAAGTAAATTTCCCAACCTTCCTTCCAAGGAATGGCTGGTGGATTTGAACCACCAGCCTTCTGGTTAACAATCAAGTGCCTTAGGCACTATGCTACCAGAGCTCCTAATCACTAATATGGTCTCATTTAAAAAGAAGTTACATCATAGATAGCTAAGACACACACACACACACACACACACACATATACATGTACATATATATCTGACTTACTTCATTTGAATGTGTGAGTAAGCGGAGGAGTGGCCACTGCAGATTACCTGCGTTTAGGGCCCTCACATGCCTTAGTCCACCCCTGCATATGCTGTTAATAAAACCAGAAAACTCATTGCTACTGAGTCAATTCCAAACCGTGGAGACTCCATGTATTACACTGTAACAATGCTTCACAGTTTTCTTGGCTGTAATCTTTATAAAAACAGACCAAAGGCCTTTCTTCCATGGTGCCACTGCCTGGGTTCAAACTGCTAACCATTTGGTTAGTAGCCAAACACAAATGGCTTGCACCACCCTTAGGGACATCTTAGGGTAAAGAGACAGGTAGAAATTTCAGATGAAACAGAAATATGAACAAAAATATCTGCTCTATATCCTCAGAACAATGATTTTGGCAAAAGTCATTAACTCATCAGAAATGAGTGCAGAGTTGTAGACTTACGTTTTGGTGTATGTATCTACAGTGTTTAGTGTTAGTGTTTAGTGTTCAAGTGTTGCCAGACAACATCCACAAAATGAATGAACTCATTGTCCCTTTCCAATGTTGCTGTGGCACTCCTCAATTACATTCTATTAGTTAATTTTAAAGCATTCAGCTGCTAACCAAAAGGTTGGCAATTTGAACCCACCAGCTGCTCCACAGAAGTATGAGGTGGTCTGCTTCCATAAAGATTTCCAGCCTTGGAAACCCTATGGCGTAGTTCTACTCTATCCTATAGGGTTGCTATGAGCTGGAATCAACTCGAAGGCAGTGAGTTTATATTTAAGAATGATGATGTGTAATGAATGCTGGTCAATTATTTTTTATTATCAAAATATTTTAAAATCATAGAAAGAAAGGATGGGAGAGGAGAGAAAGAGAAGAAACAAAGGAATATATTGGGTAGGAACAAGGCTGAATAAAAATAAATTCAGCAGTAGTTTAGAGAGGAGAATGATAGCTTTGTCTAGATGAACAAAGGAGGTAGAGAGAAATGCATGACATTGAGAAGTGTTTAGAAGGAAAGATCAGTAAGGCTTGGTGATCAATTTGGGTGCTAGAAGAAAAGAGTCCATGTGCCATCAGCCTTCTCCTTTTTCACCTGGGTGGATGGAATATCTGAGGGAATCCCTAGAGCATGAGCAGGGTTAGGAGGCCGAGGGGGTGGAGAAAGAAGAAAAGTTGGAATATGATGAGCTGTGTTTTGAACATTTGGGGGTATGTGTAAGTCATCCAAGTGGAAAGATGAATGTCTTAGTTATCTAGTGCTGCTATAACAGTAATATGCAAATGGGTGTTGTGGTGGTGAAGTTTCTGTGTCAACTTGGCTGGGCCTAGTTGAGTGGTTGGGCAGCTAAATGTAGTTATTCCCCTTGGTGAGATTGGTAATTAACTCCATGGTGGATTCTATTGGAGCAGCTGAGTAGCTGCTTTGGGTATGTGGTCTGCTTCCCGTATATAACAAACAGCTTTGGGAATGGTCTCCAGCTTATGGCACGCTTGAACCCTGCATGTAGTCGTGTCGTTGTTCGGCAGCCTCCCATGCTCTGCTGATCCTGGGACTTTTCAATGGACTTGAATTAATGGCCTACAGTGTGCTTTGGTAACATCAGGACTGTGCCTTTTTATCTGTCAATCTTGGACTTGTCAGCCTCCACAGCCAGCAGCTGTCTGAGTGAAGAAAAGCCTCTAGCCTCAGTGAACCTGAAGCAGGAGCAAGAGCTGAAGCCCAAGGTTGAGGGGCTTTCACCCAGCCCTTAGAACCTGGCACTTTGAACTCAGACTTAAAGCCTCCAAATTGTTAAGAATAAACTCCTGCTTTTTAATGCCATCCCATTGGTGGTATATTCCTGTCAGAGCGGCACTAGGTAACCAGAACAGGTGTCTTTAACAAACACAAATTTATTCTCTCACAGAATGTTGTTGTTGTTGTTATGTGCCATCGAGTCAGCCCGACTCATGGCGACCCCTCCTTGGGTTTCCAAGGCAGTATCACTACGGTAGTAGATTGCCCAGCGTTCCTTCCGAGGAGTGGCTGGTGGGTTTGAACTGCCAGTCTTCTGGTTAGCAGTCAAATG